ATCTCTAGAGCATGTGTGTGTTGTGTGTGTGTGTGTGTGTGTGTGTGTGTGTGTGTGTGTGTGTGTGTGTAGATGTTGTATAATTCCCTCAGGATTCAACAGTGATTCTTGTATGAAACATTGTTATCGTTGCTGAGCAGTATGTTGTGTGGATCAGCTGTTTGTCCATTAATTTATTTAGAAAATTTCTTTCTCGATTTTACAGATCACAAATAAAGCTGCTGTTAGTATTTCAGGTTTCACACGGCCGTACGTTTTAGTCACTTTGTGTTAATAACTTAAATTGTAACACAAGAGTTACAGAAGAGTTTTAGGTGATGCCAACTCTGATGTGTCTGCTCTCCAGTGCATTCTCGCTAGCTGTATGTGAAAGTGGCTGTTGCTTTCCATCCTGGCGTGTACACGATATGGCCAGTCCTTTAAGATTTTACTCTACTTAGTGTATTGTGACATTTCACTGTGGATTTCCCTGCATTTCCTTAGGCATTTGGAAATAAAACACTCATTTTGTGGGCTCAATTGTCACTTGTACATCTCTAATAAAATGACTATTCATATATTTTTATTTTCCTTCAGTGAATTTGTTGTTGTTATTATTATTGTTGTTATTATATTATTTTGAGACAGGGTCTTTCTATGTAGTCCTGGCTATCCTGGAGCTTCCTATATAGATTGGGCTGGCCTAGAACTCACTGAGATCTGCCACCTTGCCGTCCTGTTTCCTAACTGCTGGGATTAATGGCTTGTGTGACCATGCCAGGCCTAAATTTAGTTGAACAGATGTGACAGAGTATAACCACAACAGGATTTTGCTCATACTTCAGTGTTAGGGACAGTATTTTGTCATGTAGAATACCTGCTTCTCAGTACTGGAAGAAAACATTGTCCCCTAAGGTTTTTGTCGTATGTATGTGACCCCTGTAGAACATACATTTATAAGTTTAACGTGCATTTTAAATATATCACCCGACAGTTTCTTTAAGTTTAAGCATTCAGTAAGATGTGAAGTGTCAAGCCCAGTTTTGTAGACTTTGCCAATTGTGTCAATTCTCTTGAGGTCAGTTTTCTTCTGCTGAGATGTCACTGCATGTGGACTCTGGAAGGGTATGTAGTATAACCTTTTTTTGTGATAATCTTCTTTATATTCAGTTTCCAGTATCCTGATTGAATAGCTGCAGATGACCCCATGAACACAGATACTGATTAAATATAGTGGTTATGAGTGGTAGATTTTTTTTTTTTACAGAAATCTAATAATCAAGGAAGAAAACAGGTAGGCATTTGTAGCTAAACTAAATTAATCTCACAGACAATCTATAAGATGAGAAATCTAAGCTAAATGTATCATCGAACATCATTTTCCTATAGTCAACATGGAAACATAAAAATTATTGATAAAATTTGGCCGTAATGTAGTTGCAGCTTGGTGATAAACAATAATTTATTGATTATCTATATTTACATATATTTACAATTCTGTATATTTACAAATTTGACTGGACTAATTGGCTTCCACACATTTAAAATATAAATGCATACAGTAATAATTTTAGCAAATGTTTTTGGATATTTGTTTTATGTATTTAAATATCCTGAAAATGTTTCAAAGTTCATGTATTTGTACAAGTGTGTGCTTTATAATCACCATGAACAATGCATCAGTTTGTTTTTATGAATAAGAATTAATTTATAAAATATATTAAATGACAAAAAGTGAGATAAAAAATGAATGGTGGATCTTAAATATTTGTTTTTAAAATAATTGTGATGTAATCTACTAAACCTTTGTGCATTTAAAATGCTCTTTGACATCTTTATACATGCTTATGTCCTGAAACCAAATGTCCTTTCTTCCTTTCTGCTCTCTTAAATATATTTTTCCCAGTGGATACAATTACTGATTAAAGGACCCATTTAAAAATATTTGAAAAAATCAGAGAGTTCCTTACTTGTATACAATGTACTGTGAGCACCCCCCCCCATTGCCTTCTCTTATCCTTCCCCGTCCGGGTGGTCACCTTCTTCCCAGCTAGTCCTGATTTTGCATGCAAGCATGTGCGTGCGAGCGCGCGCGCGCGTGTGTGTGTGTGTGTGTGTGTGTGTGTGTGTGTGTGTGTGTTGAATGTCTTCTTCTAGCACACTACACTTTAGTTTTTGAGACAGTGTCTCTCGATGCACATAATGAATTTTGATTATATTCACTCCCCCTCCCCCTAACTCTTCCCAGATCTACTCTCTGCCTCTCCACCCTTTCCCAATTTTCCTGTTCTTTCTGTCTGCCTGTCTGTCTCCCTCCTTCCCCACCTCCACAGTCCAATTAGTGCTTCCCATTTATGCATGGGTGTGGGAACACCCACAGGAGCGTGATCAATCAACCTGTCATGGGCCACAACCTTAAAGAAAAGGGACTCCTCCCAAAACCCATCAGCTGTCAATAGCTCTTCATCTAGGAGCTATTGAGCCCTTCTCCTCTCCCTTCTGGAAGGTTCACTGGCTTGATCTCTTGCATGCAGGTCTTATGCAGGCAACCGTAGCCTGCATAACCGTGAGTTCGTGGGTGGGGCAGTCTTGTCATGTCTAGAAGACGATGAAAGTTTACAAACTCCCAGGGCTGGAAAGATGGTTGAGCAGTTAAGAGTGCTTGCTGCTCTTACAGAGCACTAGGGTTTGGTTCCCAACACCCATGTCAGGCAGCTGCTCCTAACTCCAGCTCCAGTGGGCTCTGACTTCCTCTTTTGGTGTTTGAGGGGATTCACAAAAGTACCCCATCCCCACAAACACACACACCCACAGAATCAATGATAAATAAGAAACTGAAAATGGTGCTATCTGAACCACACACAATAGTTACACAATACATCAGAACAGTGGACAAGTACCTGATAGACCTTTTATGAAAATAAGTGTTTTTGAGGCAGAATCATAATTGTTAGCTTTGTAATTTTCAGAAAAAAATGCATTTTATTACAGAAAAAGATACGTTTATAAACAAAGTTGGAAATATTTAAAAAATTTGGATAGTGAAGAGTGTACAAGGATGTTGAAGGAGGAAACACCTCAGCCACTGCTGTTGGAAGTGTAGATGGTTGTTGCCATTTTGGAAAGTGGCTTGCCTTTATTTTGAGAAAGAAAGATCCAGTCCATTACCTAGAAATTCTGCAACCATGTGTGTACCAGGACCTATTTACGAGAGGGTTCAGATCACATCTTCTTAATAGTGACAAAGCCAAGCACATCAATTGTTCATAAGAGTTGCTGCTTTGACTTAACAATATAGAGAACATTTCTTTAAAACTGGTGGATACTGAAGGAAACATGCTGTTATCATCTTCATATTGTTTGTACTTTTGCATTGAGACCTGTGCCTGTGGAGTTTTTTGTTGTTGTTGGGTACGTGTCTGATGTGGACACAGGAAACTGGGCTGAACACGGCATGTGCTTCTTGTTCCAAGCCTGGCAGCTGGGAAGGGACTCACCAGCCTGTGCCAGTGGATTGGGTGTTCAACTCAGGTGGTGAGGAAAGTTTCCACCCTGCCAGCCTGGTCCCACAACCTGTTCAGCCCCAAATAAACACACACAGACTTATATTATAAAACTGTTGGTCAGTGACTAGGGCTTTGTATTAACTAGCTCTGTCTAAATTATTAACCCATTTCTATTAATCTAAGAATTTCCATACAGCCTTATCTTACCAGAGAAGGGTTCGGACCTCTAACTCCTTTGGCGGCTCACATGGCGACTGTTCTGGCGAGCCTTCTCTGCCTACCATTCCCAGAATTCTCTTTGTCTCTTAGTCCCACCTATCTTACTGCCTCATTGACTGAACAGTGTTTTATTCATTAACCAATAAGAGAAACATATACACAGGAGAACAACGCCCTCCACTCAGGCTTGTCTGAGGGTTGGGCTGAGTGCAGGATGCTTTGGGAGAAGATGACTGAGTCAAGAGGCTGGCTGGAGCACAGAGTATGCTTGCCTGGTTGGACCTAGAAAATGGCTATGGCCTAGGAGAAGGTTATATGCTCTGGCAGTGGAGAAGGGAATTTATATTTAGAAATGTAAGTATAATTAGGGCTCGCCTAGAGCTCACCATGTAGTTGAGAATTGTCATGAACATCTGAAACTCCTGCCTCTACTTCCTAAGGGCTGAGATTACAGGGATGTTCCGTTACATCAGCCAATGTGGTATGCAGTTCAAGCTCTGTGCTTATATGGTATGCACTCAGCCTACCAACTGAGCCATATCCCTACTTAAAAAGTGCCAAAAATCAGTGACTCTGTAATGATCTGTCACAAAAGGGACATCTATATCACCCTCCTCACTGCAAGATTCAAGTGACATCATGGAAAAAGGGATGGAAAGACTTCAAGAACCAAATGTCAGGGGGATCCGTATCTGTTGTCTATGATAGGACCACTGCACTCACGAACTCACAACACCAAGACCAAGCCACTCAACATTCTAGCCTAGGCTGGCATTCCTGAGAGCCCAGCTCTGACTGAGGAGCTATGGATGGACAGTTCATGGCTTCTGGGCTGAGAGAATTAGTTTTTCTTAAGGGTATGGCCCCCTAGTAGATCAAACAAACTCAGTGGATGGCCTTACACACCAATGAGTATATGGAGAGCAGAAATTGGATTTGGTAGATTATAAAATACGGAGGACATGAAATTGGGAGAGGTTGGAATGTTGGGATAAATCTCGAGGATTTAGGAGTAAAGGTAAGGTGGTGAACATGATCAAAGTACATTTTATGTATATATAATATTCTCAAAGAATTAATAAAAATTACTCCAATAACCATAATGTGTTCTGAAGTTTGTACTAGCAAATGTATGCATGTATGCAGTACCTTCCACTTACAAGGAAGTTCAGGACAAAACAACTCTGAATGAGAGGCTACACATTTAACTATCCATATGTTACTTTATAAACATGGAAAGTACAGTATATTTTGTAAAC